CTCCCTCAGCAACAATCACAAGTCCATCACTCTTCTATCTAAGTGTATCATGACTTTGTAGGTCTAGATAACGCTAGAGAGTGCAGCATCCTACTGTCAAGATATACTTACCAGTTTCGTTGTGATTAGGAATCATGGGAAAAAATTTCCTCCAGGATGCTTTCACTATGGAGGGAATATATAAAACTATTACTTCTTTCAGAAATGAAAACTGAACCCAGAGAATATGATTCCTCTCTTGATGAACTGAAAGAGGATAGGTCTAAGCTATCAATGCCTGTGATGGCTGGGAACAAAGACGCCAGCTTGAAAGGGTTTTTTTTTTTTTTCAGATTTATTTTTATTGTTTTTATTGGAAATTTAGGTACACAGAGAGGAGCAGAGACTGAGAAGCAAGATCTTCTGTCCACTGGTTCACTCCCCAAATAGCCACAATGGCTAGGACTGAGCCAATCTGAAGCCAGAAGCCAGGAGCTTCCTCCAGGTCTCCCAAATAAGCACAGGGTACCAAGGCTTTGGGCCATCCTCCACTGCTTTCCCAGGCCACAAGCAGGGAGCTGGATGGGAAGCAGGGCTGCTGGGACTTGAACCAGCACCTATATGGGATCCTGGCCTGTGCAAGGCCAGGACTTTAGCTGCTAGGGTAACGTGCTGGGCCTTGGAAGGGCTTTTAAGACTTGACCTCCAAATTAAGCTATGGTGAACATGGAGGCTGATGGTCCTCTACAGTACTGGTCATTGGGAGTGACAGAGATGAATCTCTTGGATTCATGGGTAGGTCATGACTGGTAAATGTTTTTGTCTTTAGAGAAGGTGTGGTCAGGTGAGGAGATGGAGCCCGAATGAGGACTGGTAAGAGAAGCAGACCAAGGATCTAACATTCATTCAAAGGCACGCTGAGTCCAGGGCACAAAGGGCACTGCTGTGACAGAGGAGCCTGCAGATGAAGGTAAAAACAGTGAGTAGAGAAGGGAATGAAGGAGACAGTGTCAGAGTCTAATAACAGAGAGTACTTTCATGGCGAAAGTGAGACAAATGGTGGAGTGAATAACCAAATGAGTAAGAAATGAAAAGAGCGCTGTGGCAAGGGATGCTCTTGAGGATGGGAGATGAGGGCAGCCACATGGGTAGGAAAATTGAAAGTGAGAATGCAGAGGCCATTGGGAAGTAAGGGTAGAATTTTTAAAAATCAAAAATAAAGGAGAAAAGGACACATTCTACAAGAAGTATAGCAAGTGAAGAAGGGAGCGTGTGGGATCCTTCTGCCAAGAGGTTGTCAAATACAGTGTTAGAGGGGGCACCCACCGAAGGGCTGTTGATTGGGGCTCTGCTGACATAAGTCCTAGGGAGGCTCCAGATTCAGGCCTGGTAATGTGTTTCTGAAAGAGTCTGGTGATAGGCTGGAGGTCAGAGTTTGAGATAACACAGTCACACAACTCTGGAAGCCAAAGGAAATGTAGGGAGAGCAGTTGCTTTCACTGGTTTCCCTATCAGCTGGAAGTCGGAAATGTGCACAGCTCATGGAAATTAACTCAACATTATCTAAGATTCCCATGGTGCTTTCCCAGGTGGCTTCAGGACACAGACTGTAGAAGCTGCAGCCAGACACAGAAGGGAGATAGGGAAATCCGGCCGATCTTAGTAGGGGTAGGGTACTTAGTGGGTACCGTCCCAGTGCATTTCCTTCCAGCCCTAACTACATGCTAAGCATTCATTCTTGACTTTTGGCTGTCTTCAATACTCTTTCCCTTTGTGGTACCCTCTCTTATCTATCCTTGAATGTTCTGGAACCCTGAAGTAGTGTAAACCATGTTATGCTAAACATAAACCATGTTATGTTAGGCTAAACAGGAAAAAAGAGAAATAGGTAGTGCAGGGATGTAAGACACACACAGGCTAGAATGTCCTCCCCGTGATTTTACCCTTTGGTGTTTGACATGCCTAAAGGTTACACAGGTGATGGAGGCACTGAGGTTTGCACATGGAGCAGGTGTGTTAGCCAAGAGCCTCACTCACCACTGCAGCTTCTGCTTTTCTTCTGAACTGAATTTTTCAATTTTTTTCCTCTGGATTGCTGAAAAACAACAACAAAAATGGGAGCAGGAGGCATACTTATTCATCACTCTTTTCAAGCATTAAGAACTTCATCGAAAAATGACAAGAACTTAAACTTAGTATGATATTTATTTTTAAAGCAAAGCAAATACTTTTCATTTCAATTACTTTCTATTTTTGCCCACAGATATTTTTCTCAAGGGAATTCTCAACTGAGTTTCTCTTGTTGCAAAAGGGCAAGCAAGCCTGCTCTTAGAACGTGCAAAGCTCCTACAGACAGCTTGCTGCTCTCCAAGGCTTAGCTCGGACTAAAAGCCACTCTGGATTCTGCTTAGTGGACCACATCTTCCCTGATTTTTCATCAGGAAATACCAAGCCAAGTCAACATGATTTCCTTCTGTAATTGGCTCCATGGGACATACTGAACCACATACTGAATTATCCAGTCGAGCAGCCGGACAGATATTTTAACTAAAATGAGACAGAGCTTGGGAAGGATAGGAGTATGAAGCTAAATGTGCCCATGTGGTGAAAGAGCAGTGGGTTGAAAGGTGAGAAGGAAAGGCCAAAGGAGAACCGATTAAACTGAGGTTACAAGATGAAGTCTAGACAGGAAGGTAGCATTTGATATCCAGGAGAACACTAAAAACTGACTGGCCAGAGGAACTGGTTGTTCAGCCATGTGTGCAAAGCACCTAGCTACAGGAATGTGGGAACAGGCAGTATTTAGAGATCTAGGTGGCTGGACATGACATGGAGCTGGGATTCAGAGACGAACTCTCAGCCTGAGAAGCAGTTTGGGTTTGAGTAAGAATAATCCTAGATAATTGTACCAACAGGTTGTAAGTCGTGAGATGAGCATCCTGAATAGCATGTTAGTCGCGAGGCAAAATGACTGCTGTGTTTGAGTATTAGTTTTCTCTACTAAAAGACAAATTATTCATTTTGTTTTAGAAATGATCATTCCTAAGGTTAAGCTTTATTAGCTTATAGAATATATACATATGTACATTTACCACTGGTAACTAGTTTTTGCAGAAAGACTTGCATCATTTCTAGAGCACTACAACCTCTCTGGGCATGCAAACCAGAAGACTGTGTGTGTGTGTGTGTGTGTGTGTGTGTGTGTGTGTGTGTGGTTTTCAAAGCAAATTTACAGGGAAAGTCATTGTGGTGTGAGAAATGACTGTTCAGTGAAAGATATTTTGGGGAATGTCTGCATCCTTTTTCACAGTGCATGTGTTCAAGTTTCTTCTGCTCCAGCCGGCTCATTCTGCAATAGCCACTCTAGCCACAGCTGGGGATCTGAAACTTCTTCTTGGTCTCCCATGTGGGGGCAGGGACCTAAGGACTTGGGCCACCTTCTGTTGTTTTCCCAGGCTGTCAGCAGGAAGCTGGATCAAAAGTGGAGCAACCAGGACCGGAACTGACACCCATATGGGATGCTGGCACCACGGGTGGAGGATCAGCTTACTATGCCACCATGCACCCCTAAACATTTATTTATTTGAAAAGAAGAGAAATAGAACTACAGAGAGATCTCCCATTCACTACCCAAATGCCTCCAACGGTTAGGCCAGGAGGCAGGAATACAAACTGGATTCCTCAAATGGATGACAGGGACCCACTACTTAAGCCATCACTGTGCTGACTCCCAGAGGCACGTGAGCAGTACACTGGAATCGCCAACAGAATGGGACTGGAACTCAGTCACTGTGATAGCACATGAGGGCCTCTCAAGGGATGCTTTGACTGCTGTGCCAAATGCCTTCCAGAAAGTTCACAGGTTTTTGACACACAGAGCTTGTATACCACAGGAACTGTCAAAAATCCCAGAAATTGTGTCACTGACACAAACGATCCAAATCACTGTCTCAGGAACTTGATACTAATGTCACTCATCGGCCACTTCCATCCATGCTTGCTTTGCTTCTTGACTAAAGGAAAATGGCAGCACAGCTCCGTTTCTCACTTTAGAGCCAAACACTGCTGCACCTGGGCCGTCCCTCACTACTTCCACCCTGTACAGGGCTCAGCAGTGGCAGATGAAGGGATGGCTTCCACATCTTCTCCCTCGACCCTGTTCCAAGCCTCCCCTCACTTTTCTTTGCTCACTTGGATCTTCTGAGGAGCGTGGATGAGGCTGTTTCTGTTAGCTTTTGCCTCACATGTATGTGGCTTTTAAGATCTAAGTAAGGATTTTCTATCGGCTCCTTATTTGAGCTTTTAGACTCCGATTTCAGTGGGGGTAGCAAGAATTCAAAGATCATTTGCTGATTACCCACTTTGTGCCAGGCGCTGCAGAAACAGCGGGACAAGGCGAGGAAGAGGCTGGAGAGGAAGGTGCTGAAGCGCGCGGGACGCACCACACAGTGCCCAGTAGACGGGGCTTCAGCTTTCTGAGAGAGCTGGGAAGCCAGCACCGAGTTTTGGAAACAAGGACAGTTTTCTCTGACACTTCACAATGACAATAAAATTTAGGCGGGGGGGGGTGGGGGTGGCGGGGGGTGGCGGGTGGGAGGGGAGAGGGGAATAACGGAGACTTAGGGAGAGTTGAAGATTTTAGTAGCAAACGAACAAGGATCAAACGATTAGAATTAATTCCAAAGAAGGCATACTACAGACAAGGAAATACAATGTGACACAAACATACTCAAAGAGAAACGCCAAGGAGTTCTTCCAGGTTCTGCTCAGGTACTTGTCAGGGAAAAAGGAAGCGAAATCCAGACGCCGGGAATGCGGTCCACATCCTCCTAGACTATTGGAGGGCGTGACTGAGGAAAACAGTCCCCGCCCGGAAAAGGGCCGGCCCCGAGCCTGGCCACGCCTCCGGTCCCGCCCCACCGGCGGCTCGCTACAGGGGTTGGCCGTGGCGGGGGCGGTGGCCGCGGTGCCCGGAAGTACGGCTGACGTGTCCCGGCCGCGCTCGGAATTGTGGGCGAGTCGGCTAATGGCGTCGGCAAGTCTGGGGAATCTGGGGACCCTGGGAAGCGGGCGCTGAAGCTTCTCGCCAGGTTGGTTGGTGACGTCCAGTGTGACCTGGCCCCGCGGCTGCGGGGAGGACGTGCCCGCCTGGTGGACTCCTCGGCCAGAGCCGGCGGGGCCTGGCGGGGCGGGGCCCCGAGAGGAGCCGGAGGTGTCGGCGGAGGGCTGCGGGGGGCGCACGGACCAGCCCGGGGGTGGGAGCCCTAGGCCCCAGAGGAGTCCGGGCAGAGCCCCCCCTGGGCGGACCGGACCGCCCGAGGATCGCCGCCGCCGGGAGAGCGGGCTGACAGTGCTGGAGCTTGTCTGTGTCCCTGGGACCTGCTGGGATCATGTCCGGCCCCAACAGCCCCGAGGCGGTGAAGAAGCTGCTGGAGAATATGCAGAGCGACCTGCGGGCCCTGTCGCTGGAGTGCAAGAAGAAATTCCCACCTGTCAAAGAGGTAGGCTGCGGAGGGCGACCATCGAAGGCGCCGGGAGCGCGGCGGGGCGCGGTGGTCCCGATCCGGTGTTCCCGCGGCCATCACCCGTCCTGACCTGGGCGTTGGGGGACTTGTCTCCCGGCGCTGTTTGGGGTTGTCTTGGGAGAGGTCCTTGGAAATGTTTGCTTCTTCACTCGCATCTGCCTGGTTTAGGAGAGAAGTTCGTGGAGCTAGCGTAGGTTTACTGGACACTCTGGCTTCTCTCCTCCGAGAGGCTGTCCAAGTCAGGTTTAAGAAGCCACGGCAGACAGACCTGCTTCCACAGTGCTGGTACAACCACTACTCATCAGGCGGATTGTGAGTCCATGGGAAGCAGCTTCCCTCCTTGGTTTGTGGCATTCTGCGCTGCCACCAGTCCCAGGATGTGTTAAGGTGTCTAGAGCCACCTGCTGTATCGCAGACACTGCAGACTCTCAGGAGCCACTGACGTGTTGGTACCGAGAGCAGTGCCACATGTCAAGCTGGGGTTCAGGGTCAAAAGCAGCCAGCCCCGTATGTAAGTGCCACCAACACATCTTTCTTAACCGTTTTTTGACATAAGGCTAAAGGGTGGCTTTATTAGATTGTGAAGGAGAAATTTGTCTCTATCAGAGAAGCCTAGGTTCCTAACAGATACACATAAATCCTGGAACTGCTTCTTGAGTTGAAGCCATTTAGGCACTGTGGGCTTTTTCTCTTAAGATGCAATTTTAAAATCTTAAAACTCGTCTCAATTTTCTTTTGTAGTTTTGAGATAAGATATTTTAGGTATGTGTTAATAAAAGTTACGATTTTCCGTTTTTATTTAAAATTTCATTTACTGTCTGGATAAAATTCATCAAGGGATTCCATAGTCTTATAATTATGTACATATTTTTTCTTTGTTATTATTATTAATACTTTTGAGAAGGCAAGACAGGGAGAAAGATCTTCCATCTGCTGGTTCACTCCACAAGTGGCTGCAACGGGCCAGAGCTGCACCCATCCGAATCTAGAAGCCAGGAGCTTCTTTTGGGTCTCCCACACAGGTGCAGGGTCCCGAGGCTTTGAGCTGTTCTAGGCTGTTTTCCCAGGCCACAGCATGGTACTGGATGGGAAGTGGAGCAGCCAGGATATGAATCAGCACCCATTTGTGATTCCTGCACCTGCAAGGCGAGGATTTACCCAACAAGCCATCACATTAGGTCCTTCCTTTATTATGATAAAGATTATATAACTCAAACTTGGCCAAACTGTGGATTTTAGGCTTCTAAAGAGTCAGCCTTTTCAGTAAATGCTTTTGATTCTATCAGTTTTCAAAAATCTGCACCGTGTATTTATTAAAACAGAACCAAAAACAAGCAAATGATACTCTAGTCACTCATGGAAAACCAGATGTACCAGAAGGAGGGGAAAAGATAATAGCTATTTTCTTTGGTTTTGATTTTCGTTATTTTCTCTCTATCATCTGCTATTGGCAATGACAACAAGTGATTTTAAAAAATTAGGCCACTGTAAAGTGTTTTAAGGAATTCAGTTATTCGTAAGAGAGACACTTTCATTTAGAACATGTTTTGAGATTTCAACATGATGTGTTCATAAAACTGACTTTTCCTAATTCTAACAATTCATGTAAAAACTGTGGTTCTTCTATTTTAGGCTTTTGTGGGTTAAGATGGGAATTTAATTGCTTTTTACAATATTATTTCTATTGGAAAATGCATTCAGATTTCCAAACAGGTAAGTAAAGTTCGGGAACTCCTTTCTTTCTTAATCTAGCACTTTGATTGAAGTTCATTACCTTTTACTTGAAAGTTAGCAAGAGGGAGATTCAGTACTTGCACCTCATCTTTGAGGTGATGGTTGAGTAATGCTTGTGATTCTCATCGATCTAGGACTTTAAAAAGTGAACACTTTTTTTTTTCTTTTGAATTTATTAGAGAAGAGGGAATGAGCAGTGAGCCCCCACATCCTGGCTTAGGCCACAGATGTCTGCAGCAGCTGGGGCTGGGTGGGGCTTGGGTGTCCTGCGTGCTGACTTCAGCACTAAGCCAAATGCTTATGCCTTAAACATTTCTAAAAACTATTTATTTGAAGTTAGAGTTAGACTCCCCAGTTGGCGGTGAGGCCAGGCCAAAACGAGGAGCCAGAATCTTCCTGGAGTATTACATTTGAGCCATCTTCTGCTGCTTCTCCCAGGCTGTGTGCTGGAGGCTAGATCAAAGGTTGAGCAGCTGGAACTTGAACCAGCGATTCTGATTGTGGCAGGTGGTGGCTGTACCCACTTTGCCACAACACCAGCCCCTGCCCCTCTTGTTGTTGTTGTTTTTTTTATAATAAGCTAAACATTTAATGTTTCATTATGGTAGAAGCTTGAAATTCGTAATTTTTTGTTTTTGTTGTTTTGCGGAGAAATATACAACAGTAGAAATAGACCTGTAGTCACCCTTTTGTGCAATAGAATCACAGAATTTACTCCTAGCTAACTATAACTTTTTTTTTAAGTTTTATTTATTTTTATTGGAAAGACAGATATACAGAGAGAAGGAGAGACAGAGAGAAAGATCTTCCATCTGCTGCTTCACTCCCCAAGTGGCCGTAATGGTTAAGCTGTGCCCATCTGAATCCAGAAGCCACGAGCTTCCTCCAGGTCTGCCACGCAGGTGCAGGGTCCCAAGGCTTTGGGTCGTCCTCCACTGCCTTCCTAAGCCACAAGCAGGGAGCTGGACAGGAAATGGAGCAGCTGGGACACAAATTGGCGCCAGCATGGGATCCTGGCGATGCGAGGCGAGGACTTGAGCCACTGGGGCCACATGGGGCCAACTAACTGTTAATCGGTCTTTGCTCACCTCTCTATTCTGGCTCTTATATAATTTTGTCTTCTACAATACAAAATTTCATGCGTACATGCTCTATAAGAGTCTTTTTTTTAATTGCTTTATTTTGACAATCTTTCCATAGTTGATTAGGGCACAAAGTGTCAATGGCTACAGGAAAGTGGATAAGACTATTGTTTCCACATTATTGCTTTTTTCCCCCTGTATCTGGGGTAAAGGGTGAGATAAAGGGAGAAACCCCACCCAGCCTTCCACTCCTCCAAGGTCCCTGATGTGCAGCATGCTCTGTGGACTCTATAAGAATCTGTTTAGTCAGTAGCATGTGCTAAAGGCTGTACTTTAGCGATTGAAAAAGAAGTTGACTGTGTCATAGATTTAAAGATGACGTCATTGGCCCAATACTGATGCTTTCTTTTAAGGAGGAATTGAAGACTTTGACAAAATACTTTGGTTGAATTAAATTTTCCCTTGTAAATTAATTCCCATGCCAAATTTTGCTTTTTTTTTTAGATATGGGTGTGTTTTTTATGTGTGTTTCCCTTATATAGTAGGTAGACCTTAAGGAAAATTTTTCCTAAGAAGCTTTTCCATCTGTAAATTTGCTTGCTAATTAACTTTGTTCTCATGTCTTCATAGGGACAGTACTTCAGAAGTATCTCTGAACTGTTTTTAAAGCTACTTAAGTTGCAGTTCAGTTGCATGTATGTTTTGGGAGGGATGGCTTCTCTAGTACTTTTACAATAAAGTGGAATTAAGCAACATACTTTATATTTAGTCTATTTCAAGCTTAGTAAATTCTACTTTTTTTTTTTTAAGCCCTGATGCTTGATTGTAAATTTTAAATTACTAAGCTGGGAGCCAGTGCCATGGTGTTGCAGGGTAAATGTCCAGCTGTGGCGCTGGCATCCCAGATGGGAGCCCACTGCTCTACTTTTGATCCAGCTCACTGCACGTAGCCTGGGAAAGCAGCAGATGATGGCCGAAGTTCTTGGGTCCCTGCACCCACATAGAGGACCTGGATGAAGATATGGAGAAAATTTCCTGAGAAAGCTGGAGTTTTAAGGGCCTAAGTGTCTGAATTGAATTTCAGTCTGAGAAGGGGTACTATCTTCTGATCAGGGAAAGATGAATTTTAGCATCATAAATTACAATAAGGAGCATACTGGAAAGATGACATAGTTGAAGGCAATTTGGCCTGTGGCCTCTGTTTTCTTGATAAGATAGGAAACCCTGCTGTCACTAGAGGTAATTAATGATGAGAAAAATGGTGCGAAGTTTAAGGAAATCAGTGGATTACTTTGGAGAAGCGGAGAAAAAAAATAGATCTAGAACACTGAAGAATTTTAGCAAGAAAAGTGGTTGAAGTTAGATGGATTGTGAGATGCAGTTTGAATTCTTAAAAAGAAAAAAATAGTTGGTTGATTGGAAAAAGATGAAAGGGTTAAAGGTTGGGCATCAGTTTAGTCAGAGCAGCGGGAGTTGAGGAAAGTGAAAGAGCTAAAAGGTTAGGGGTTAGGGATTTTGCATTGCCAAGTAGAGATACAGGGGTAGGGAACGCCTGGCCTGTGGTCAGAATCATTTGATCTGACTATGGAAAGACAACTGTAGGTGGGACTGGAAATCAGAAAGTCTAACAGGGTAATTTTGTATGACCTGTGAATGATGTTTGAAATATCCAAATTGCCCTTGGCAGAAAAACAGTTGCCTACACTGTACTGGATGATGATCAGTCCCAGAGAGGGGTGATGGAAGAGGAAGGGGAGTGAAGGTCATGGGAGTTGAAGTGGTCAGAATTAAGATTTCTGGAGGGATTTATTTCTGTTCCTTTTCATGATGCAGAATCATAAAGGATATTGATAGTAAAGTGTAAGCAGTCTTTCCAGGCTATGTACTTTAAGGTTCCTGTTGCCTATTCAGGCCTGATAGATGTTTTTTTCTTTGGCACAGATTTTTGCCTGAAAATGCAGAAGTTCCTTGTGGTAGAGCTCCTTAGTATGCAGTATTTTTCTGGGTTAGCAGACTGAGGAAGACTTGACGAGCGAGATGTGTTCTCTGCACCGCAGCAGGGTTCTGCATTGAGCAAGACGTTTGGGGACTGAGGCTCAGGTCATTGGCCTCAGCTAGGACTTGTTGTTCTGGCTCTTATGAGAGTGAAAAATGGGGCCT